AAAAAAAAAAAAAGAATTAACTATGAAGAACTGATTTTTGTATACACTGTAAATCATTGTGTTGCTGTTCATTATTAAAAATAATTTCTTTTCAGGGGTATGTTTGGCCAAATGGGAGAGTGATTATAATACACAAGCTACAAACTACAACCCTGGAGACAAAAGCACTGACTATGGGATATTCCAGATTAATAGCCGCTACTGGTGCAATGATGGCAAAACTCCAGGAGCTGTTAATGCTTGTGGCGTGTCCTGCAAAGGTAAGACAAGGTGGTTCTGGAATGTTGGACCAGACCCATCTGGCACAGAGAATAGAGATTCAATGCAAATGACATGGTCTGGAAAGATTCATCTGGGAGCTAGAGAAACTACTGTACCTCAACTACTAGAATGTGACCGTTTTCCCCATCAAAATTTCCCAAATAAGAAATCTCTGGCACTGCAAACAAAACAATCAAAGCAAAATAAAATACAAAAATGAGAATGAGTGTCATAAAAAGTTTGTGTTTTAATATGTATGTTTCTGAAATTATTACAATTTTAGTGTAAATCACCTTATTGAGTCTTTTTCCAGAGCAATGATACTCCTCCTATTTACCTAAGATACTTTACAAATAATTGTTTGTGTAGTCCATTTTGATTATTTCACCTTTTTAAATGAAATATTCTAAACACACAAGGCAATTCAAAAATATTTTGGTTAAATAAAAATTGTATTACAGTAAAAGGCACATTGCCATTAATCCCCTCAAAGTACTCTCCCTTCTTTGGACTCAGAAAGTAACATCATTCTTGCCACTTTATGAAGCAGTTCTAGAAGTCTCTTTTATGAGTTTCTTTACAAGGTGTCCTCAAAGATAGGGAATGCTGCTGCCTAGTGCCGTCCAGTGGAAACGCAGGCCTGTGACATCATTATGGTGCCTCCTTCTCCACCTTATTCACCGGATCTGGCACCGTCCCACTTCTGACTCTTGTGCAAAGTCAAAAGGACCCCCAAAAGTCAACATTTTGAATCAGTTCAGGACATAGAGGTAGGCGTGGCAGGGCTAGTAAAGATACTCATGAGAACTTCCAGAACTGCTTCCAAAACTGGCAAAAATGATGGAATAGTTCTGTTCATACAGAGGGAAATTATTTTGAGAAAGATTAATGCCAGTGTGCCATTTACACTCAGAAATGTTTCATTTAAACCACACAATACTTTTATCATGACTCATAGTATACTAAAAACCCATATGCCTGACAATTTAAGGGTAATTACTGATAACTAATTGATTCTTCTACATATATATTTTGTTTCCTGAGACATTTTCATAGGAGTTAGAAAAGGATTGACTTTTTTTCTAAATTTTTAAATTTGCATCTCCAAAATGAAAAAAGATTCTTCATAATTATTCTAACTCCTACAAAAAGTGATTATGGATTTACATATTTGGGATGAAACTCATGTTTTGTTTTCTCTTTTGTTTTACGAGGAAAGAACACATGGGACTTATTCCATGCCAAAGTTGAGAATAATAGACTGCTGAACTGACAATAAAATAGAAATTACATGTGGATTCTTTGCTTCATAAAATAGAGCATGAAAATTGAAAACTTGGTATTCCCCAATACTAAAATATTAAATTTTGGGAGAGATAAGACTAATTTTGGAATACTCTTTTTTATCTAGTTAATTTATTTCTAAATTATTTTGTATTATACACAAATATAGTAGGGACAGGGATTTAGCTCAGTGGTTCCTCTGCCTGCCTCACAAGCACAAGATCCTGAGTTCGATCCCCAGTACCAAAAAAAAAAAAAAGAAAGAAAGAAAGAAAAACAAATATAGTCATTGAATAAAAATTAAAATCTAAAAGCAAGAAAAAAAAGCAACCTCATTCTTCCCACACGGGGATTGATATCCACTGGTAACTTTTAGTATATAACCTTCCAGAATGTGTATTAATCATGTATATAGAGGTAAAGAATGTCAGGCACATGCGTATTCATGTGTACTCGACACACGAGCATGTAAGTCATATGCATTTTAACAGACACTAAATGTAATTATACATACTGCTTTGTAGTTTCCATAGTATTACACAAAATGTTTTCTATGTCAAAAACTACATTATCTGCATTTTCATTATAAAGGGTGAATAGAATACTACTATACGAATACCCCCTAAGTTGTAGATCCAATTCTTACTGAAAAGCATTTAGTTTCCATTTTTCCGTTTTGTAAATTGCTATGAACACTTTGCACATGCATGATTGGATGCATTTCTTATTATTTCTTTAGGATGAATAATCCATAGTAGAATACCCAAGGAAAACATGACTAAGTAACTTTTAAAATGTTTTGTACCAAGAGTACCTTCCACTGCAATAGTTAAGAATTCCAGAGTTTCCAGTGGCTTTAATGAGAAATAAAAAGCTTTATTTCATGTCAAATTGGGGTAGATGAAGGGTCTCAAACCTTTGCTGGCTGATTCTAAACTTGAAATTTCTCTAACAGTCGTTTTTGTTCCTCACCATCTCCCTTTCAGCTTTGTTGCAAGATGACATCAGTCAAGCTGTAGCATGTGCAAAGAGGGTTGTGAAGGATCCCCAAGGCATTAGAGCATGGTATGTTTAACTGCTAAAGAGAAAAGGGTTTTACCTACTATTGATATATGCAGTGAGAGAAGACTTCAAAGACCAAAGTGTGTTCTACAGCTAAAAATTGCAATTTTGGGCTCATGCTAAACAATGTGATACCTTCGTCCTGAAGATAGACCCTACTGTAAGAGACTCAAAATCCTTCTTTTTTCACTCCACCTTTTATTTTAGGAAGTTTCCGGTGATTTAAAATTCTCTACAGTCTACTAATGCCTTGTATATCTTGAAAGTATTTCTACAATAAGTTAAATGTGCAATGTACATAATCCAACATTTATGTTCAGCATGCTGTGCTCTACTGAGAGTCCGGAGAGGAACAAAATACCTTGCATACATCCTCCAGTCAGTAAACACTAGTACCTGAGTGTCGCTAGAGCCTGTAGTTTATTTGTTGAGAATATATTTTATTGCAGGAAAGAACTTGAAGTATGTGTGTTGTAATGAAGATGTATTTTAACTTTTTCTCTGTATTTCCTTTTCTTTGCAGGGTGGGATGGAGAAATCACTGTGAAAACAAAGATGTCAGCTCATATATAAAAGGCTGCAAAGTGTAACTGCAAAATTTTCTTGTTCAGCTCATTTTGTTTCTTTTGCATATAAAGGGAGTAGCAGCTAAGGGAAAGTTCACAGAGCCATTGTTTCCTCTCCAAACAAATAGCAACTTACAAAAACAGAAAAATGGGGCCGGGGTTTTAGCTCAGCAGTGCCGCCCCCTGCCTCGAAAGCTCAAGGTCCTAAATTCGATCCCCGGTACCCCCCCCCAAAAAGAAACAGAAAAAACTCTTTCTCCTAAGAGCCTTACTATTCACTCATATGCTTATTGTTTGATATACATCCTCTTTTTTCATTTCATGAAGAGGGAAAAAGCTGGTAAATTGTTTCTAATACTCTAACTCTCAATAAATCCAGGGTACATTTAATTCTTAGCAAGGAAATAACCAAGACTTGAGCAGAAACCATATCAATACTCACCAATATTAGATGAAAATATAACAAAACTTCATGTAAGAACAAATTCATCTTATGGAAATTCCCACCTGTATTGGCATCTGATACCTTCATCTGCTCAACACTTCCCAAAACAGTAAAAAATAAACATGTGATTGGCCAAGATAAAATATTTTAAAGAGCACAGTTGCAAATAGCTAAAAATTGAGACTGTCTGGAGTAAGAATTTGGCTCTCATAAAGTATGTAACATTTGATGTCAGTATTGTCTTAGGTATGCTGCAGTTGTTGAGTTTTAAGACTAGATTCACAATTTGTATATCAAAGTGTTTCAACTCTTGAATGAATACGTGCATCTTGCTGATCCTGAAGGCACTGATGGGAAACGAAATGAGCTGTTCCTGTTCCTCAACTTGGATTCATGTATTTCAACTAAATCTGAGACAGATGAGCTTCTATTATTAATTAACCAGAGAATGAAATTACACAGATTGTATAAAATGCAAACATTATCATTAAAGGCTTTGCAAGGCATGCCTTGACTGTCTTTGTTTAGATGCATCAAGTGTTTCTGCAGAATGAATTACCTGTATTAAAAAAAAAAATTGTGGCACTCTTAATAACTTCTATTTCTTAACATTGGTTGAGAAGCCTCCACAAAGCATGTTGACAAATTTCACTTGAAATTCACACTCACGAATATCACATGGGGCCTGGACTGGGCCCGGCCAGCTCAGTTCCTTCTCTGCAATCCATCTCTGCTCGGGTCACCACTCTTGAGAATGACCATGAGTGTTTCACTCACTGTCAAAGCCCCAGCACACATACATCTGAGCCTTTTCTCCACACCACCCCATTCTCCTCTCAGCAGATCATCTGGCCTTTTATTGAAGCTGGAAATAGGACCCCAGGAGTGATAACTCTTTTATGCCAAGATTGGAGCAAAAGCAGCTTTTAATGATGCCGGTAGCTCAGCAAACGACTCCTGTCAGTCTCCGGAGCCCCAAATAGAAATTTGTGCTTCCTTATATAGCTGTTTTACAACTACAAAGTTTGATTCCATTCGAGTTTCCCTGGGAATATAGCAAGCAGGATTTACACAAAGCAGAGCAGTGGAGAGGGGAAGAGCAAAGAGTCCTGGCTAGACTTTCTGAGGCCCTTACGCTCCTTTTGTGGCCGATTACAGAAGTTGTCATGATTACTCAGGTCATTCTACAAAGAACATAGTTACATGGTTAACCCATAGTTGCCTAATAACACAGTTAACTCATAGTTGTCCACATGGAGCGGTGGTCTCCTCTCTCATTCCCCCCTTTGAGGATCTGATTGAAGAGCATCACCTTTATATTAACTTTTGCCATTTACATCGTGTTTTATCTTATCGATGTCTATGGTTATATAATCTTTTATAGAGTGTTATCTTTTAGCTCATAACACCCAAGAGGCTATTTTTGATCTATGGTGGTTATTATCATGGAACTGGAGATGGCTGGGGCAAAAGTAAGTCTCTTGATTCGGATTAGTGCCCCGGGGTCATAACCTCTCCCTGTCCTCTTCTCATTTTTGGGTCCTGGGGGTCTATGATGTTGATAGTGACTGGATTATATGTCCTGAGGCCACAAGGGGTCGGGTGTCTTTTGTTTTTTAAAGGAGATCCTGTCTGTCAGGTGGGCCATTTTACACAAGACCAATGGGGCAACCATTAGTTGGTGGATCTCTATATCAATCCCATGGGTTATTTTTATACATATACATTGGGGTAAACATTTGATTAGCTTTAAAGGCAGAATTCTTCCAGCATCAAAAAATAAAATCATTAACTCCCCAGGCCTCAATTTTGTGGTTTTGTTTATCAAGGGTCCTACTTTGTCTCTGGTGTGAGTCAGGATTTTAAACCCCCAAGTGGTTTCTATCTTTGAGTTAAAGCAAATGGCTGAAGTACCATCCTTAGCCTTACAGACCATATATGTAGTCAAATTTTGGGTACAAGTTTTTATAATCTCTCCTTTACAAACATAGTAAGTATGAAAAAGCAAAACAGTCCTTACAGAAGTTTCTATCCAAGTGACATGCAGTCAGGGATCATAGTTGGTGGTTGTCCCTGTGGGATTTACTCCCTTGAGTGTTGCTCCTGGAGTGGAGGATATGAGGCCCCCTAATAAAAGTAACCAGTACTAGTAAAACATCTTACCCACAAAAGAAAAGTGAGGGCTAACAGACACCTTTTGCTCCAATTCCAGTTAGCTGGGGGAGTCTCAGCAAGGGCTATGGCAAAAAGCAGGGAAAGAAATCTTAATACAGTTAAAAGCAAGGGATGACAGATCATCACAGGTAGAAACAAAGGTATGTAGTCCTGTCCTTAGTGGTGTCCTCAGGTTCCTGCCATGTGTACACTGGTTAGCCCCCAGAGTGACTCAAGCAGGGCTGATGTCTTTCGCTGACTTTAGTATGATTTCCCTCCAAGTTAAGTGATCTTTGAGTTGTGCTGAGGGTTGCGGCCTTTTTACCCAACTATGGTGGATCCAGGTGGAGATTTTTCTTACTCCCACTGCTGTGGGGATAATCAAAATGACTGTTAATGGGCCCTTCCCTTTGGGTTTAAGGATGTCTTGTCCCCAGTCTTTTACCCAAACTGAATCTCCCAGAGAGAAGGGGTAGAGTGGAGTAGAAATGTTAACAGGGGTCATTTTTAAGGCCCCAGAGGCTATCTTTTGGAAGACCTTTTTTTTTTTTAGCTCAATCAATTGTCTTTCTAAGTAGGTTTTTAAAATGTCCCTATGGGGTGTGTTAGTCTACTCAAGACAGGGTGGTCTGGCAATCAGAAGCTCACAGGGTGAATAGCCTGTTCTCTTGTTCTCTGCAACATGTGCAGAGAAGCACAATGGGTAAGGCCTGGACCTCTTGGCAAAGTTCTCCTAACCCTGCTTTTAGGGTTTTATTCATCCTCTCTACCTTTTCAAGCTCTGGGGCTGATGGGCCACATGTAAATTCCAATTAATCCCCAATGCCTTTGTCACCCCTTGGACCACTGTTGTCACAAAAGCAGGACTGTTGTCTGATTCTATGCTCAGTGGAAGCCCATAGCGGGGATGATTTCTTGTAGCAATTTCCATGTCACTTGGGCTTTTTCTGTCCAATGAGGGAAAGCCTCTACCCAGTTAGAGTAAGTAACCAAGAGGTAATAGAATCCTCCACACTTGGACAATTCTGTGAAGTCAACCTGGATATCTTCAAAAGGCACTAACCCTATCCCCTGGACCCCTGCTGGGACACCTGAAGTAGTCTTTGGATTGTGTTGAGCACAAGTCATGCACCACTGGACAGTTTGGTCAGGGCCATCAATCAGAGGATATAGAAGTAGAGGTTGAGCAAAGTCTCTAATTTTTTGCCTAGGCGGGTATTCTCATGTGTAGCTTGTACTAATTGAGGCCCAACATGGTATGGTACCACAATTTAGCCATCTGGAAACTGGTACCATCCATCTTCTCCTCTAATTCTCCCTTCTTTGGCCACCTGTTGGATCTCCTTTGAAGTATACTCTGGGTTTTTTTGGGTTTTGTTTGGTTTGGTTTGGTTTGGTACC